CCAAAGGGTTCCGCAAGGGTCACCTCACCTCCCAGAACCTTCTGACCAGTGTGGCCCTTGGGGGGCTCCCCCCTCGTGGCAGACCCACCCTTCTCTGGAGCCCCCGTTCCTCACTCCCCACCCCCTGCACCCCTCACTCCTGCTGGAACCGAGCCCTGCAGGTGACTGGGCCAGCTGTCCTTCTGTTTCCACCAGCACCTCCCAAGCCCCTCCCCTCCCCTCTCCTCTTCCCATTAAGTTTGCTCACTGGGGCTGTTTGTTTAAGTTTCAAAGGGAAGGAAGACACAGGTAGGGCACAGGGCCAGAGCCCCTGCCCCCTGGGCGCTCCCTCTTCAGATCAACACCTGTGTCTGTGTGGTGTGTCTGTGCTATGCATGCACACATGTAGCTGTGAGCATGTGATGTCTTCACACATGTGTGCACACGTATGTGGGTGCACCTGTGCATGTGTACATATGTGGGTAGGGGTGCGTCTCCTTTGCGACCTCTCCTTTAGCCTTCCTGGCTCTGCCAGGACCCCCCAAGCTTCCACTCTGCTGGCAGCACAGCACTGAGACCCACGGACTAACCGCCGAGAGCACCAGGAGTCCCTCCCCTGCCTGCATCTGCCCCACCTCCCCACAGGGCGGGCTCCCTTTCTGACCTCAGCGACATGAGGGCGTCAGGGGCTCCCCGGGGGATGTGGGTCCCCGCCTATCCCCACCCCCTGCCTCCCGTCACACGGAGCCCCCGGCCCCGCAGACTCCTTGGAAGGACGCAGCCTCGGACGCCAGGGCACTACCTTTCACAAGGACCCCGGGAGATGGTGTCCCAGCACCTGACAGGCGAGGACACCGAGGCCCGGGGAGTGTGCCACCCTGAAACACGCCGCATGGGCACAGGACGATCTTGAGTTTAAGGCACGTGAAAAACAGCAGATGCAAGAAGTGCGCTCTGACCTTCCTTTTGTCCTGAAAGCAGGAGATAAAACCCCTGTGTCCGGAAGGCGAGGGAAACCCGCACAAACAGGCCTTGCTGGACTCGCCGCACCTGCCGGTCTCTCCCTGCGACTGCCCCAGCCCAGGCCCCTTTGCCTTGTCACGTGGCCAAGTCTGTCCACCTTCCTTAGCCTGGCTTTCCCGTGAGGGCCCCACACGTGCAAAAATGCAAATGCTTTTCTCCTGTTAATCTCTTCACATCCATTTAGTGCTCAGGCCCTGCCAGGGACCCTCCAAGGGCAGAGGGGATGTTCTGCCTCCCTGCGAGCATTACCAGCGAAGCTGGGATTGGAAACCAGATGCTGCCCAGCTCCCACCCTGCCCGTCCCAACATCCTCCAGCAGGACTTGAGATGGGAAAATGGGACCTGGGTGTCCCACTCAGTGCCGCAGGCCTTGGGCGCTCCAGGGCTCACAAGGGGCCAGAGGTCACCCCAGCCAAGCACAAAGGAGCCCTTCCCTACACCGCTGGTCCTGGAGCCCCGAGGCTGCCGTGTACCCCCAGAAGCCCATACGGTGGGGAGAGCGGGACGAAGCACAGGGAAGCCAGCGCCAGGGTGCCCACTCGAGAGTGCCTCACACTCGCCCTGTCACTGGAGCCCACCTCTTTGCTTTGCCTGTGACCTCACTGAGCAGCAGTGGCAGCCAAGCCACGCACCCCGCCCTGCGTTGCAGTGGGGGAGTGGCCCAGACGGGGTGAGGCTGGCCAAGGCCCGAGCCAGGGACCCAGATCCTAACACGCACGATGGGGGATGGGGACTCTGGCCGGGCACTGCCACTAGGTCCTTAGTAATAGCCTTATTGCAAGGTCCTTAGCAAAGACCGGATGTTCATGAGGGTCCACCGTCTTCTACCAAGTCACTAAATCCTCACAACCCCACGGATGGGGGCAATCTCATGACCATAATCCCTAATCCAAACCTGGGGGCCAGATGTGTTTCAGGAATTTTTTTATTTTAGAAACACACTCATGTGTCCGCAGTAAAGGTGTGAGAGTCCCAGAGAAGCGGGAAGATCAAAAACAGCCTCACACCCGCTCAGGCCAGGCTTTGCGGCAATGGTTTTGGGTCAAGCTTAAGAAAAAAGCTTCCCGTTGAGTGGGTCGGGACAGCAGGGAGACTCCAGTGATCGGGAGGGTGGTTGTCTGGTTCGCATTGACACAGACCCTGAGCCTGGTCTCACTGGCCCTTCTTACTTCTCTCTGGGGCTCTGGTTTCCCGAGTCTGAGCTGCGTCCGGGTTTTAAGTGCACAGTCCCTACAGTCCCTGCAAGAGTGGACAGGGGGCCTGAGTTCCTACCGGGGCTCTGCTGCCAGCTCTCCATGTGACCTTGGAAGGTCAGTGTACCTTTTTGACCTCAGCCTCACTGTCTGGAAAGCAAAGGGGTCACTGTAGGTCAGCTACAGGCCAAGGAGAGAGGCCTTGGGAGGACCCAATCCTGCCGGACACGCTGATCTTGCGCTCCCAGCCTCCAGGACCATGAGACCATCAACGTCTGTTGTTCAAGCCCCGCGCCGCCCCCCGTCCGACGTGCTGTGTTCCAAAGCAGAGCTAAGACACTGGGGCAGGGTGGCAGCTCAGAGGATGACCTGGGGCTTCCCGGGCACCGGGTGGCAGCCAGGCCAGTCTCACCTCCAGACAGATGACGGAGCCCTGGTGCTCCCGGAACACCCGCAGCTGCTCCCCACTTAGGATGTCCCAGGCGCGGATGGTGGCATCGGTGCTGCCTGTGAAGGCCGTGTGGCCGGGTGTGTCCAGGACCAGGCACAGCACTGCACCTGTGTGGCCCCTCAGCGTCTGGTGGCAGCACCCACTGGCCACCTGCCACACCTTGGCTGTGCCATCGGTGCTGCCAGTCACCAGGAGGCCCCCAGCCACAGCCTCCTCTGAGCAGAGAGCACCGGGGAGGTCCCAGGGCGCAGAGTAGGCTAGAGTCAGCACGCAGTTGCGGTGGCCCCGGAACTCCTGGGACATCTGCCCCTTGTCCACGCTCCAGACACGAGCTGTCCGGTCATAGCTGCTGCTGAAGAGCTGGTTGTTGACAACCAGGATCCTGCAGCAGGAGGGGAAGCGTCAGGGGTCAGAACACACGGGGTTGCCAGAATCCACGCAGCCTCCCCACGGGCCAGGCTCGGCGCTGTGGCCGGAACGGCCTCTCCCTTTCTCTGCCAGGCCTGCCGCTCTCACCTCCCGAGCTCCAGCTCAAAGCACCTCCGCCTCCAGGAAGTCGCCCTGACTCCCCACACTCACCCCTCCTCGTCTGAGCCACCTGCTCGCTTGGCCTGCACCTGCAGAGGGACCAGCTCGGACGCTTCGATCCCTTCCCCATTGGGTCAGGGCAGCTGCTCCATGAACAGCATGGAAGGAGGCGGCAGAGGGGTCAGGAGCAGGGAGCGGGGCACGGCTGGCCCTCCCAGCTCACCCAAAGCTGAAGGGTTTCTGTGGACTCAGGGCTTTGAGCCTGAAACCGGGAAAGTCCAGGCCAAAGTGGGGTGTGGTCACCCTGGGAAAAGGAGACTCAAGTGGCTGGGCAGGGGCTCTTCAGAGGCTGGAGGACAGGAGAAAAGCCTGAGTGCACCCACGGGTGACTTCTGGTGGCACACCTGCGGACGAAGCCACAGCGGGTGGGGTGGGCGTCTGCCATCAACTCTCACAACAAACCCCTCGTGGGCCGACATCTGTTCGTGACACTGCAGCCCCAGCCACCAATAGGGTTCCAGCTCTAATGGGGTTCCAGGCACACAACTGGGCCCAGGGGCCCAAGGGAACTCGGCAGGGGGCCACGAGGGTCCATTCATTCAGTGGAACTGGCCAACCCGGGGGGGGGGGCCCCGAGGCTCCCTTGCAGTGAATATTGACGACTCTTACTCTCTTTTTTTTTTTTTTTTTGAGACAGAGTCTCACTCTGCCACCCCAGCTAGAGTGCAGTAGCATCATCACAGCTCACAGCAGCCTCAAACTCCAGGGCTCAGGTGATCCTCCTGCCTCTGCCTCCTGAGTAGCTGGGATCACAGGTGCACACCACCACGCCCGGCTAATTTTCCTATTTTCAATAGAGACAGAGTCTTGCTCTTGCTCAGGCTGGTCTCGAACTCCTGAGCTCCAGCGATCCTCCCAACCTCGGCCTCCCAGAGTGCTAGGATTACAGGTGTGAGCCTGGCCTTCTTACTCTCATTTTGATGAAAACTAAGAACTTCTCTCTAGAAAAACACCCATCTGTCAGTAGTACAGAACTCTGCACATAACTTCCAAGGGTCTGTTTACACACCCTTGCTAAGAGGCCCTGCGCTCCGCTGAGGCCAAGGGTCGAACCTGCTGGTGTGGGACCCTCCTGGATCAGGACCAAGGCCGGCCCACAGCCTGCTGTGGGCACCAGACTCACTCAAGGGATAAGCCTGCTGCCTTCCACCTCTGCAGTGTCCCCAGACAGTGGTTCCCATTTCCTACAAGTCACCTATAATGACACACATGGCACTAAAATGCCAACTCTCTCTTCTGACTGGCTTTTTCCCTGAGACCCAAATAGCATGATTTCCACGAGATATGTATTTTTAAAGAAAAGTGAATCGTTGGTGCTGGGCATTATGTGTGGCCGGGAGGCCTTGGGGCGTAGTGGGGGCTGGGGGAGAGTCCTGCCTGGCGTGGCCCAGTGCGAGAAGGCAGGGACACCAGGCCACTGCCAGCCACTGCAGTGTCAGGGCCCTGCCCCGAAGCTCACACGCCTGGCCCGGCTCCGAAAACACTGGAAAAAGTGTTTCACAGACTCTGCTCGGGGATCTCACCCATTTGTGAGCACAGTTACTTAACCATGCAAATGTCTCCCCAGAGCTATGGGTCTGGAACAGCAACTGGTGGAAAATAATGTGTGTGTGTGTGTGAGTGAGTGTGTGTGTGTGTGGGAACATGTTGTGTGTGCACATGCGCGACTGCGCTTGTATATACGTGTGTGTACATGTGTGTAGGTGCATGTTGTGCCTACGCGTGGGAGACTGGCCCTGGCAGAGCATAATTTCTACCTTTCATTGTCCAGCTTTACCTTTGAGAAGCAGCCAAGGACCAGTTGGTCCCCCGAGGGTGCGGCCTTCTCCCCGGGATGCAGCCTCTTCCTGACTCGTGGACGGAGGCCCCCCACGCTCCTCAGTGGCAAACCTCTCTCTCAGGAGAGTCGGGGGCGGGGGCAGGAAGAGGCCCCGGAGCCGGAGGCCCTGAATTCTCACCCGGGCCCTTCTCTGCTACTCGTCAGCCCCCGCCAGGCAGGTCTCCAGCCTCACGTGCTGCAGCCGACGGACCAAGTCCCAGCTGCCGAAGGTGGGCGGCCGGGCTCCCGCCTGGTGCCCCAGACGCCCTTCACTCACACTCTGCGGGGCTCTGCACCCGTCCCCCCAGGGACACCAGCCCGTTCCCTGGCCCGTCTTCAGGTAACTGTCCCAGCTGCAAGCACCTGCTCCTCCAGGCAGTCGGAATGAGGGGTGCAGCCCACCCTTTCCACCCACTGGTCCGCGAAGCCGGTCAGCTCTGTCAAAGCTCACGTGGCAGTGTCCCTTCTGGCTGGGCACGTCTTTTCCTCTCTGCCCTCCAAATACCAGCCTCACGTGGACCAGCCTCCCGGGCAGTGCCCCTCCTGTCGGCAAGGCGACCACCACAAGTTACCCAAATGGTGTCAAATTGATCTGATCAGCAAAGAAATTTCCATTGCTCAGCTAAGACCCAAATTCAATACGGAAAGGAAAAATTCGAACCTTCTTGAGAAGAAGGGACTGAGATATTTTCAACAGCCACACAGAAAGAAGAGGTTTAAAAACATCCTCGACCCCTTCTTCGGAACAATCTCCACTCTCCTCCCCCTCCAAACCTTAGGTCCACCTTTGGGTGTCAACCTAACAATTTCCTCTGGAATGTGTCCCATCAGGAGCTGTGGGCTCCAGTGCCTCTGCCTGGCCCTGGCAGGGGAAGCTGGGACCCCAGACCCAATCCAGGGTTAGGCTGCCCTGCCCCACCCCTCCCCCCAGCCCCACCTGCAGCCAGGGGACTTGGCGCTCTGCCCGTCTTCCTCAGCTGTGTGCTGTGACACCTCCCCAGGCATCCACGTTTCGACTTCCTGTAATGTCCTCAAGGGCAGGGGCCCTGTATCCCCGCCCCCCAGGGGCCCAGGCCGACCTGTTCACAATGGACGTGTGTCCTCGGTACACCTGCAGACACTGCCCGGTCAGCACGTCCCACCTCCTGATGGTGCAGTCGGCGCTGCACGTGAAGGCAGCTTCGTCCTCCAGCTGGCAGAAGGTCACGTAGCTTTCGTGTCCTGCAGACAAGGGAGAGGAGTGCAGCAGGGCCGCCAGCTCCTGCTTTTATTCTGGGAAGAACGGGTGGAGAGGGGAGAAAGGGAAGAAAGCAGGGCAGGGAGCATTTGAGACACGCCTGGACGGACGAGTCCTTTTTCAAGGTCCTCGGTCTGGGAGATTCTCAGCAGGTGTGGGGTACCGGGACCCGCCCGAGCCCTCTGCCCCACCCTCCACTCTCTCCTTCCTCCGCCTGCTTCACCATCTCCTTTCAGTCTCCTTCAAACTTTTCAGATTCTGTGTTTGACGCACCCAGCGTCACGGAGGCGGAAGCGGAGGGGCCGAGGGCGTGGCCTGGATGCAGGGCAGGATCCCACCGGGGGCTGTCGCGCCAGGTGCCTCCACCCCGCCACTGCCGCGCCGCGGTCACTCAGGGGCGCCGTGCACGCTGAGGTACGGCGGCAGCCACGCAGTGAGTCCTGGGTGCTAGCTTTTCCTTATGTTCAGGGACAGACAATGGCAAGCGGAACAATGGCCCCCGGAGATATCAGGTCAGTGTCACCTTACTCAGAAAAGGGTCTCTGCAGATGTGACCAAGCTGAGGATCCTGCTGCGGAAGATTATCCTCGATTATCTAGCTGGGCCCTAACGCAACCACGGGGGTTCTTGGGAGAGACAAGACGGGAGACGTGACCCACGGAGAGGAGAAGGCTGTGTGAAGGCGGAGGCAGGGACAGATGTGGCCATCGCCAAGGAAGAGGCCAGGAACCAGTGTTCCCTACAGTTTCCCAGGGAGGGTGGCCGTATTGACACCTCAGTTTTGGCCCAGTGACGCGGATTTCAGACTTCTGGCCTCCGTAACTGTGCAGGAATAAACTTCGGTTGTTTCAAGGCACAGCAGCCCCAGGACACTAACAGATACCGAGATGACGGAGACACAGTCCCGCCTGCAAAGGGAGCTCCCAGCCCAGAAGGAAAGACCGCAGCCGAGTGCGGCACCAGGGCTTAGCGCCCACTGGGCAGTGGTGACCGGGCACTGAGGAGTGAGGACGGGTCTACCGGGGGCCCGCAGGAGAGTGGAGGGGTTGGGAGAGCAGGTGGCACATGCACCTGGAAGGCTGTCCTTGTCACTCCCTGGGGCCTCTAGGCCAGAAACCAGGTGCTTGACAGAAATGGTTGACAAGGCCAGACGTGCCAGGGCAGAAGCCTAAAATTCTGGGGATCTGGCGCCCGAGAGAGTAGGATCTTGACTATTGCCCAGCTGCCAGATCAGCGTTCCTAGCAGCCGTGGAAAAGCCCTCAGGGTGTCCTGCAGGTGAGGATGCTTCCACCTCAGAGAACAACGGTCCACAGCAAACTGAGGCTGAGGACACAGTCGTCCCCTGGTGTCCGGTGGGGACTGGTCCCAGGACCCACAGCAGACACAAAATCCACGGATGCTTCAGTCCCTTGGGGTGGTATTTGCACATAAGCTGCACATTCTTCTGAGTACTCTGAACCATCTCTGGGTCACTGCTCATACCTAACACGATGCTGCCCGTCACTTGAGTAGAACTCAGTGAGCACAAAGTCAAATACCGTCTTTTGGAACTTTGTGGAATGTTCCCCCCAAATATTTTCCATCTGCGGTTGGTTTGCCGTGGATAAGAAACCGGTGAGTGGGGAGGGCCAGCTGTATTGGGAGGAGTTCGGGGACCAGAAAATCAACACAATCAAAAGACTGTTAGAACTAAGCATTTTAAAGATGAGGAAGCTGATTAATTTAAACATCCACACATTTGGGAGAGGTACTTACTACATTAAGGATTTAAAATTGCGCTTAGCTGTCTGGCATCATCAGGTGGACAGGGGTTTACAACCTCCTGGGTAGTTTCAAGCCAGTTCACAACTTTTTTGTCCTAGGTTTAAGCTTAGTTACTCAGGGAAGAATTCAACTTCCTCGGTTCTAAGAAACAAAATTAAAAAGCTTTCAGTCTCCTTGGAGAGCATATACCAGGCCTCTAAGAAAACAATGTACGAATTGAGTAAACACTTGAAGGAGCTACAGATTATGTTTCCGTGAAAATACGCGTCAGCTTAAACACCGAGGGCAAAAAGCGTTTGTCAAAACAGGCCGGATTTTTGCCAACCCCGAAGAGTTCATAAAGAGTTTAAGGTTGTCAACAAACTTTCCCTGGGACCAGAACTGTCCCTCCCTCCCCACCGCCACAGGAGGGCTCAGCACAGACCAAAGAGGACGTCCCCCCCGCCCCCTCCCGCCTCCTCGTGCTGGCTGGGGACGCCCAGGATGGAAGACATTCTGTGGGCACGCAGGCGCTGGGCACCTGCCAGCCTGCATGGGTGTCACCCCCACGGCCCCCTGAGGACCCTGTGGGACTGGCACCAGCTAAGGCCAAGAGGGGCTGCCTCAGACTCCTCTTCCCCAAACCCACCCCACCACGGGAAGGTGAAGTGCAGGACTGAGTCGTAAATTAAGCCAAGGAAAGCACTTAAGAGCCCAGTGCGGCTAGAGAGCTGCCGCACCTCTGCTCGATGGGGCTCTAGCCATCGAGCCGGGGACGCTGAGGCCGAGGTGCAGGACGAGAGAGGACACGTACACGGATCGCCAACAGACAAAAGTGCTGATGCACACAAACAAGGACTTGAAGAGGCCACGGTGAAAGGAAGTGCAGTTTTTCAATGTAAAAAACCTCATCTCTGAACCCGAGCCAGGCTGACCCGACGCTCTCTGCTCTCTGCCCTCTGCTGGGCCTGGCACTGAGCCCGCTGAGGCCCCCGCAGTGGCTGGGGCTCCGCCGAGACAGGCCCCTTCCTCTGTGTTTCCAAGCACTCACCCCACATGGGAAAACACACCCTAGTGAGTCACAGGTCAGAGCCCTGCCAGCGGAGGGCCCGGGGGACCCTGCGGAGCACGTCCCTGGCCAGCGCCACCAACCCCCAGCACCCACATCCCACAGAACACCAGACAGGCCTCCACTGACCTAGGGCCTGCGGGGACCATCCCAGATGGCAGGGGACAGAACCACTCCTGCCACCCACAGAGCCGACACCCCCGCCCCGAGCCCGGAGGGAAGAGGGAGGGCCCATCGCACCTCCAGGGACTGCAGTGCCTCGGCCATTGCCGCTGGAATTGTGCAAGATAAGCAAAAACGTCAAACTCAAAATAAATATTTTCGAAGGGATGAAGACTACAGATAAGACGCAGATATTATGTTCAAAAGAACATGCTGAGGCTCGAGGGTTTCCTGCCAAGGTAGCAGCCGCACACCCCGCAGACTTTCTAGAAGTTTAGAGTCAAACTGCTTCCCCCACCCCTACCTGTCTCCGAGGGCACAGGGGGCGGCAGTGGGCCCTGGTGCTGCGGGGACGGCCCAACCCAACGCGCCTTAGACTCAACATGAAAACGCTGCGCCTTTCTCTCCTGAAGTGCCCAGCTTTGGACAGCAGAGCGCGCGGCTGCCCGAACGGCCAGGCGGTGGCAGGGACGGCATCGCGTGCTTGGTTCACCAGCCTGTGGAAAGAGCTGCCACCAGCACGTCTGCCACTGGGTCTTCACCTGCTCCCCCACCTGCCCCCTCCTCTTTTCCACCCTGCGGGCCCCACTCCCCCACCCTCTGCTCCCCACCTCTGCACAGACTCAAGGGGGCTCCCTGGTCCTTCCACTTCCGGCTGGGTTCAGACAACTGGAAGCCCCGGCAGACTCTAGGTCAGGTCACTTCCCCCAGTGCCGAACTGCAGGGCCCCTTGGGCTGGCTGTGGCCCTCCCGCCAGGGTCACCAGGCCTGGGAGGAAGCCCCCTCGACAGCTGTTTCCCCAGGCAGTGACGGTAGGGCCTGAGTCTGGGAGAAGTGACAGCCTGCTGGTACTAGCCACGGGCCTGACACTCTGCCCGCGTTCTGCAGGGTGTCCCTTTACTAAACTCCTCGTCTGACCCTGACCGAAACCGCTGCCTTGTGATGCTTCCTCTGAGCAAGTCTGAAGCAGGCGACGACTGGGCCCAGAACTACTGAAGGCGTGGCTGAAACAGACACTGACACAGCCACTGGAGGCCTGCAGGGTCTCTGCAAACCCCTGCTTCGAACCAAGAGCACCGCAGCCTTGGCTTCCTGGACTTCTCCAGTGGGCCTGGCCCACCTGCCCCCGAGCTGCCCGAAAGGCCGCCTGTAGCTCCTGTCACTGGTGTGCAACGGGACCTGCTCCTTCCAGCCCTGTCTCCTCCCACTGGCCACCGCCCTCCATGTGGCTCTTGGCTCCCTCCCCAAGTCCCAGTTCCAGCCCCCTGGGCCAAGAGGGGAACCCCGAGAACCCCTACTCACAGAGAGTTCATACTTATCAGAAATTCAACCGCACACAGCCCCTCGGCTGAGCGCTCACTCTCCCGGTCCAACCTGCAAGTTCACCGGGGCAGGACCTGAGACTCCTGCACCTCCAACGCCAGCACAGGCACCCGGCACGGCCAGCCCGACAGGCAGGCGAGGGGCAGACTGGACTAGGAGGGAGGCCGCTGGCTCCAGCCAGGACCTGCTCTGCCGGTGTGAACGTGGGTGGGCGGGTCAGCCCCCGCCCCCAGCCTGTTTCCTCATCCATAAAACAGAAATAACAACGGGATGCAAGACCAAAAGAGGAAGAAGAGCTTCCAACCTGACAAGGTGCCAGGCCCATGAGCCTCGCTAGTGAGGCAAAGCCTGCGGGATGCAGGTGTGGGTAGGACACCTGCTACAACGTGCCAGGAGGTGCTCATTAACCGCTTAATCACCACCACGGCCTTGCAAGGCTAGGTTACTGCTGTTACAGAGGAGGAAACTGAGGCATGAGAAGTTAAGTAACAGAATTCCAACCCAGGCAGTCCAGCATCAGAGCCCAGGCTCCTGCTCACTGGTGGCCAGCAGGGGTCACTCCCCCAGGTAGGCGCCTCCCATGCCACCGGCAGCCAGTAAATGGGAAAGTGCAGTTTGTACTCAGAGAGTTAACCCCTCCAATCATGTTAGAGGATGAGGAAGCTTGTGGAATAGCCACAGTCAAGCGCAACCTCTAGGCTGGTTCCCTTACTCAACGGGAACAGAACAGGCCACCATTTTGGAAAAGGTCCCTCATCCCATTGGTCCAATAAAGTGCCCTCCAATAAGACACCGGCAAGTCGAAGTGAGGAAGAGGGGCTGGGATGACTACATAGCAAGCAATTCTTCCTTTTACAGAACTGGTGACTAAGCCTTCTTTTCCACTGTGAGCTCACCAACTGTATTTGAAAGCCACTTCCACATATTGAAAAGTAAATGTGGGGCCGGGCGCGGTGGCTCACGCCTGTAATCCTAGCACTCTGGGAGGCCAAGGTTGGAGGATTGCTTGAGCTCAGGAGTTCGAGACCAGCCTGAGCAAGAGTGAGACCCCCATCTCTACTATAAATAGAAAGAAATTAGCCAAACAACTAAAAATAGAAAACATTAGCCGGACACAGTGGTGCGTGCCTATAGTCCCAGCTACACAGGAGGCCGAGGCAGGAGGATCGCTTGAGCCCAGGAGTTTGAGGTTGCTGTGAGCTAGGCTGACGCCATGGCACTCTAGCCCAGGCAAGACAGTGAGACTCTGTCTAGGATTGCATGTCCTAGGATTGCATGGCGCCTCGGGGGATGTTGATGACAGCACCCACCCCACTTGGGGGCAGCACCCTGAAAACACTGAGAACCCTCTGCATGTGGAAACCACATCTGCACCTCCCCATTCTCCTCTGTAAGCTGGTGTCAATCCCGTTGCCTCGGAGTCAGCAGGGTTCCCCGCCCAAGAAAGATGTACATAGATGTGTAGTTATAAAACATAGGGCACTAAACAAATGTTAAGATAGTTTATTAATATTTCACTGATACAAAAAAGTCCTACAGGAGGAAGGAGCTGGCAAGACCTTGTCCTTGGGTGGGGGGCACACAAAAGGATTATAGCACACCCAAGATGACTCTTTTGCAAGTTAAGTCTATTAGTGCAATCTCAGGATAAAGAAAGGTTACCTTTGTCCACTCTGTACTAGAAAATTCTTGAAATGCCAACCTTATAGCAGCAGAAACAACCTGGCAGAAATGGGCAGCAATTCTTTCATTCAACAGTTTTCCTATTGAGCGGGGACGGCCCTCAACTGGGGTAGAAGGTCAGGCGCCCTTCATTGAAAAGTGGGTGCTAGTGCCTTAAGGGGACAAGCAGCTATGAGGGTCACCAAAGTGGGTGTGAAGGAAGAAAGTGCAGATGCCAGACCCAGAGCTGGGCCGAAGGTGGGCCCTGGAGGCTTGGTGGGGCTCCAGAATTGCCGTGGGGGCAAAGCCAGGTGCCCGCCAGGCCAGAGCCAGCCCGGGGAAGCCTGGAGCTTCGCTGGGGGGAAAACCCACCTACCGCGCTGGGTTCCCACAGTGGGTCCCTGGCCCAGGGGTTCCTAGGGCCAGCTGTGCATCGGATCCACCCAAAAGCTTGTTAGGAATGCCAGTTCTAGAGTCCTGCTCATGGAGGCTCACTGGAGCCTGAGCCCGGGGATCTGCACTTCTGAAACCTCTCAAAATAAGGTCTTAGGTTTGGGAAGCAAATACAAGTTGGATGTAAAATTCCTAATAGACCCCAGACCCTCTATTCCTAGTTGGGTGCCTATTAGTGTCTGTGACGGTTTGAAGGTAGAAGGCGTGTGTTAGTTTGTGGCCCACTCTCCATTATCCACACGAACCAGTAAAACCAGTATTCCAAAATTCATCCCTTTTGGTCTTTGTAATATCTACCTTGACTGTTTTTATTTAAAACCAGCAGTGTCAGGATCAGCCAATATAGAAGCTAATATCCTAGCTAAGCTGCCAGGCCACCCAGGACTCGCTGCTTATGGCAAAGAAGCCAGCCGTGATAACTAAGTGTGCCCAGGGCAGAAAGCCACGTGCCTCATCAGGGGACTGTGTGTGCAGCTCTGGCAATAACAGGACCAGAGCTGAAAGGGACCCTCCCAGGGCATCAGCGCGGACGTTGGACAGGCACAGGGTAAGACGCACCCAAGGTACGCTGCCCTCCAGAGTCAGTGCGGCGCACAGACAGAAACCAGTAGGTGCCTGTACAAAGCTGCTTCATAACTGCTCACACTACCACGTGCGACGCCTGATATTTCACCCTGTTTCCAAATGCTAAACTGATTTAACAACCCCCTTTAGAGAAACTTGGATCAATCCCACCCCACACCCTCCCTTTTACAGCAGATGAGATGCGGGGGAGAGGTGGGCAGCCGGGTGCGATGGGGGTGGGGGACTCAAATTTCAACCCTGCCCCCTCACTGACTGTGAGACCCTGGGACAGTTACTTAATTCGCGTCCTCGGTTTCCAAACTCACAGGAGGGACAACACAGTGAGATAGCGCACTGCTCAGCACTGGCGGGCCCTTAACACGACCCTACTGTTGCCACGACAGTCCCAAAGAGGAAATGCCGGCCAAGACCAAAAGGCCAAC